CAATCTCATTCTTTACAAAAATGTGTTAGCTGACCTTGGTCTAGACGTAATACTTAAAAGGGGGGAAACAGTTAAGGAAACACTTTGAAGAAGTAAAGGCTTTACTTACAAAGGTGGTCAGATGGGTCATCTCAGAAAGTGCATTCAAAACAGACCTCGGGGCCAGTAGATGGCTTGGTGGTTAAGGCACTAGACTCCCACATGGCCAGCTGTTGTTCAAATCCCAGACCCTGCAGCTTGAAAATCAGGTCCAGTTCATGTGTGTGCCCAAAATCTCAGGAGAGTGGAGGAAAAGGGATTGTGGAATGACCATCCCCTGGGGGCTGATTTCTCTCTCCCTCTGCCTGTCTTCCTGCCAAGCACCTGAAGTGTGAAGGAGCCAGCCGTGTGGGAGTGGGGGGTTGATGTGAGCCCCGGAAGAGCATGAAAAGAGTGCTGACGCTGGAAGCTCCTGGGCATGTGAGGAGCTGAAAGCCCAGGTATCCTGAGCAGTGGGGGCAGGACGGACACTGGGCCTTGGCAGGTGCATACAAGGGTCTGCACTTCATTGTCTTGCCCTGAGTGTTCGTCTGCTCCTGCATGGAAGGGGCTGGTGACGGGTGGAAATGCAAACACTGCATTTCCTAACTCTGGCCCTGGCCTGCTGATGGCAGGCCACCTCCAGGACAGGAGGGAGCATTTGTGAGATCCCAGTACCTTCATTTAGGGCTTACACTTCCAGGACTCAGTTCCAGAGGGCTGGGTGTGGAGGCCAGGGATCTTGAGCCAGGGCCCCGAGATAGCCCAGTGTTGCTTTCAGCTAGGGAAGGTTATCATCAGGGGACTGTAAATGACCTCCAACTCTCCACTCTTCACCTCTGCCCTCCCTGGGAAAGTGGGAAGGCTGAGCAGTTTAAGACTTATTTGCAAATGAAATGACACCCGAGTTACACCTAATTTTCGTGAATAAAATTGTCATTACACAGGCAGTTGTCAGACCTTACATATTTAAGATTAAATGTGTCTTTAATTTGCATAGCTATTTAGAGAGAATGTTGGTTTTGGTAGTATACAACTTTTAAAAAATTATAACTGGCTCTTAAAATTAAGGCTTATTTCTGATATATTAAACACTTGGATTTTATTTCTCTATTTTTTTATTTCTCTATTTTTTATCTCTTATTTTAGAGAAAAAATGGATCTAAAGATAGCCTGATTGAAGAAAAGTCTCAGACATCTACAAGCAGCCTTGCTGGAAAACACACTGCAAAAACAGTAAAAACTCTCCAGGCTTCCCGCCTCAAGACAGAGACTTAACCCTGGTGGAGGGCCAGGGAAGGGGTGCGCAGGTTTGCCACTGGTACTTTTAAACTGTGAATTAGGGCACTATTCAGATATTTGGGACTCAAGACCCTCTCAACTCCAGGAGAAAGCACTGCTGCTGCTTGTAAAGGTTTAACTACAGTGTTTGTGCTGAAGGGCCTTTCAGCTGTGGATCGTTTTGTAAAAACCCACTTGACGCCACGTTCCTTCCTGAAACAGGGTAACAGAGGCCAGATACCAGAGGCCCCAGTGTTCTGGAGCCTGGGCTGCGGCTGGCCGGCTGTGCAGAAGCACCAGTGGGTGTACTCCCAGCGCCAGGCCGCACTCGGCTGGTGGCCAGGTGCACGAGGACAGGCATCGCTAGACCGCCATTTCTATTGTATAAATGTCAAGCTCTTTGTAACGCCAGGTTTTGTGGCACTAAGTTCCACTGGTTATTTACAAATGACGTAAGAAGCTTTTGTGTTTTAAGTGTTTAATTTCTAGTGCCTTGTGTTTTCATAAAAGGTTTAAGTGTGGGTTTCAATTGACCTCTTGACCCTCAACCTCCAATGGTCCCTCCACCTAACCTGCCTGGCCGACATGGCTGATATTCCCTGTAACTGTTTTGGACTCTCCCCCCTCCCCAGGGAAGACAAATCGCCCTCCTATACTCTGGACTTGTCTTCTCAGGATTTTTGCCTCTGATGTGTCTATGTTTGGCTGCTTATAAGCCAGACCCCTCCCACTGGCTGTGGGCCAGCGAAGGCCCGTCCCCACCTCCAGCCAGCCCTGTAGCTTGTCACTGAATTCCCAGCCTCACCCCTCTTCCTCCACCAGGCACATCCATTTGCACCCATGGCCTTAACATTCACTCCTCTAACAGCAGTGCTGTACAGCAGAGGGCCGTCTGAGTTCTGAGCTCAGTGCTGTCTGCTCAGCAGCCCACCTGTGCAAGCTGGACACTACTAAGGACTGCCAGCCTGCCCTTGTACCCCATAGCTCCAAGCTGGCCACCGCTTGCCTGGACAATTGTAGCCTCTAACCGGCCCACCTGCATCCTTGCAAACCTGGCCCTTTCTCCCATGAACCTCCCTGCTCGCCTCAACACAACAGGAGCCTTATGTGACCTGGTACTGCTTCAGCCTCACCTTAAACTCCCGGCCGCCCTAAGAGCCCACCCTACATGCCCCATTAGGAACGAAACTCGAATGACACTAGAGGGGGCAGCCTGAGCTGCCAAACATCCTTGGACTTGCAGCTTTTTCTACCCCAAGCCTCTGCGCAGGCCACCACCACCCGCCCCCGCCCTCCAAAGCGGCACCAACCCGTAGCCTCAACTCCTCAGGTTTCTGACTAGGCCGTCGTAGGAGACTGTCCTAGGAGGAACTGGCCGACTGTTGGGTCTCAGCTACTACAGTGCTTTCTGTGTAGTTGGGAGTCTTCTGCTCAGTATACCGAAACATGCCAGCCTGGGTCCCGCTCGCAGACAAGAAGGCAGTGTGTGCAGAGCACATGTAGACCTAGGACTCCACTAGCCTACTTGAGTTACGTTTGAGCCGCTGGAAGCAAGCACTGACTTCTCCCAAGGCTGTCAGTGACTGTGGGCGTTAGCCTTGAGATTTTGAGCGTAATTTTGAAGTTACTGGGATGAAATCTCCTTTGACCTTTCAGTAAGAGCCGTTTCCCAACAGTTAATCTAATAAAACACAAATCTCAAAACATGTCAGTGTTTATTCATATCCCCAGTGTGTTAAATATGTATTTATTATTATCTAAAGGCAGTTACTCAGGCCTCAGGCTCCTGGAAACTTTAATCCAAGCAATTCTTGTGAAGATCCAATTTCAAAATCTTCAAGGACATCCTAAGAAAGAAAAATAAAGCACTGAATGTGACAAGCGTTTACATGTGTCACACATGAATCCTAACTTGGTAGCTCCCGTTACCGGCTTCGGTGTTGTTTCACGGAAACGTTTCCAGAGTCAGCTCTCAAGCCAACACAGCGCGCCTGAGGTGTGACCATTATAAACAAACTCACCCCCAGTACAGGGAAGCGCATCTTGAGCTCCAAAAGGCTACTACGTCCGTTTACTGTCTCTACAGACTCCTCAGAAAAACAAGGACACCGCCGCTAAAGGTAGTCTAGTAGAGAACAAGGTCTCTCAATTGCTAGCTGCACCTTGAGGACTACATACGTAGCAAAATTAACACAGGAGTGGGCTGTTAATACGGAGAATGCGGGAGGAAGAGAGAAAACCGCCACAAGGTCACCAGCTGCCACCTACCTTAAGCCACCCTGTGCTCAGGCGTGTCCAGGTCGTCCGTGCTCCCAGTACCAGCTTCCGCCTGAAAAGCGAGTAGACACTGGTGAAGAGCAGCCAACGGCGACCGCTGGCAGCCCCAGGACGGCGCGGGAACGGCCCCGAACGCACGGCTGTCCCTCGTGCAGCCCGACACCGAGGACACCAACCCGAGGGCAGGAAGAGGCTGCAGAGCGTTTCATTTACGCCTTTTTTGACACCACGTTCACTAGTTCCCAAGGTGAACGGGCAACACAAAGGCTACCGGAAGCGGCCCGAGCTCTAACCTGGCGGGGACGAGCCCTGCGCCGCTGAGAGCCTGAGCGCACACTACGGACGGGACGGCCCGTGACCCCGGCTCCGGGTTCCCCTCCGCCAAGACGCACCTGCGCGGCCCGCGGGCCTCACTCAGGCCGGGCCTCCTTCGGGTGACCTACACCTGGGCCGGCCTTGGCTCTCCGCGCCCGGGAGGGCAGGCCCACGGCCTGGCGAGGCCATCCCCAGGCACAG